GGTAGTCCCGAGCAGGCAAGATGGCTCCATCTTGCCCGCTCGGGTAGCCAATCACAGCGCAGGATTTGATTCATCTTGCCCGCTCACGCAACTAGCCATACAATAAGAGTACTTAAAAAAGGTGTATTCACACAATGTTTAGCGAAAAACGTCAGTACTCGAGCACAGTCCATAGCGTACGGCTATGTTCACACTTGGTGCTAGGGTACGATTCTCGCTGGGCACTAGTGCGAACACACCTCTTTCCAAGCACTCACACCAGAATTCAAGCACAGGTAATGCCCATGGCAAGCACATGGTGATTCTCCTAAACTCAAGCCCCGAGTACCCTTATCTTTCTCTGATGCTTGTACCATGTGAAGTAAAGAAGAGAGGTAATTGCTAGCTTTGCACGACAACTTTCTTGTCCTGCATTATCGGAATTGGGAGTGACATGATGACCACGCCGCAGATGCAGCACAAACCTCCTATTATCTTCCCTAATGTTGTAAGAGGTACGACGTCACCATACCTGTGGAAAGAAATGATAACGACGACGAGTCAGTGAAGCGCACTCCACAAGAGTTACTATGGCCCGTCCGTGCTACACTGGAAGAATTTGAAAACGGATGTTTCACTCCGAAAACGTATCAAATGTTTTCAGTCCACACTACGCCATAAGAACTTGAAAACGCAACAAGAAGTATGGGTTATTGACCAAGCTTGTTCGGTCAAGATGGCTGGATATTGGCCATTTTTTTGCATGTTTATGGGCAGAGACAGAGTCGAGGCCCATAGCTATCAGGGAAATTTTTCCTGCGAGACAGAGAGGGTAGTACCGTTTAGTACNGGACCGAGACGGAGTCGAGGTCCATAAACTCGCAAAAAAAAGAACGAGGCCAATATCCAGCCATCTTGACAGAACAAGTTTGGTCAATAAAGGATTTGTTATATGGCTTTTGGGGAAATTTTTTTGCGGGAAACGGCGTGCAGTCCCGAGCGGGCAAGATAGCTCCATCTTGCCCGTTCCGATAGCCAATCACAGCGCAGGATTTGATTCATCTTGCCCGCTCACGGAGGTAGCCATATAATAAACGGTCATTTTGGATTTGTGTTTGAGGAAAACATCACGCCAGCGTTTTCAAAAAGCTCCGTCCGTCCACACTAAAACGCAAAGCCGGAATTTTTAAATTCCTCTGGTTTGAAGAGCCTTTTCGAAAAGCTACGTTTTCGTGACGGATTAGTGTAGACGGAAGGCCTAACCGTAGGAATAAAAATGCGTTTTCGAATTCCTCCCACGTAGTGTGAACGGGGCCTTAGCAGTGCGTTCCCACGCAATACGTCGTTCATTATGGCGCCATGTGGCAACTTTCGAGATATCTGAGAGCGACGGACCTGTCTCGAGAAGTGGGGCAAACAGAATGAGAAGAGTCAAATGTTGGCCCATATTAAAACCGCCTACCTCGAAAGGAAATATCTGTGAGAGCGTCTGTACGTCGGTTGCCGTTGATAATCGTGTTCCTCTCATAAATTATCCATGCATTAAAAGCTGCAAAGGAACTAGCTCCCTGTATGTGATCTTTGCATGAGGTAATTAATGAGCTTAGAAAGCTCACAGATAAAAACCCGACCACTCGCTGAATAATTTTGTCGCCATTTAAGGGCTCATTATCTCTGTTAATCTGTCTTTTAAACGGGCTTTCAAATTCTACATTTAAATTTCACTCACCAGGTTACCAATTTCCAATGTGGTCTTTATAGCCAATTCTTGAGATATTTTTCAGCACGATCGATAAAACACGACGCGCTCAGTTCAACAATTTACAAACGTTTCACGTCATTAAACCGTGAAAGATCGATTACCTAAACAGGCCATTTTCCACACTTTTCAGGAAATTCATGTGGCTATGAACACAATGATCGACGGTAACACACAGACGCAATCTCATCTTTTATAGTTCTGGGATGGCACCTGTAACAAAGGCTAGTCAAGTGTGCGATAAAGCTTTTATACGCGTCACAGAAAATGTTAATGACCTTTCGAGATGACGTTTGTCAAATTGACAGGCGAAAATGGGCACATTATCAAAGTGCAATGTAAATATTGTTGTTGCCTTATGTCTTGTGTCACAAATGGTCAGTAAGGCGAAAGATTAATGTACAAAGCAAATACGATTTATTGTCTATCAATCTTCTAGATTATGATGATTCTCAAAACTTAGCAGCACCAATGAATCGCAGTCCCAATCGCAATCTGGCGAGATGGATTTATGACAAGTTCCATGAAAGACGTAAGTGTTGAATAGATAATGGAACTTCGCTCTTCTCTCCATTTGGGTTTGGACATCTTGGTACATCACTTTGAAGGTTTCAATGAATGCTTTAAACAATCAAGTGACAATTGATGTTCAAAGCCCAAATGGTTGTTTTTCCTTACCAGTTAGTGAGCGTTCGATCTTGTTGGCTCGTTCGTGTGGAACTTCGATACCGAAGGTTTCCGAAGAGTCAGGTTCAAGGATTTGAACGTGCACTCACAAGTATAACGAAAGTTTTTAGGTAACCATGTCAGGTTATAATACGATACGTAGCTTAGCAGCCGGTATTTAACCGAAATGCGATCTTAGATCATGTTGCGTGACTACAAAGAGAATCCCGGCTAGAGGCCATTAATAACAATATGTAAAACGCAGTATGCAAAACGGAGCAGATGGAAATTATAAAACCCTAATGATTTCGTCATGAAATTACATTAGGGAATAACCTTCTCTGCTTAGCTGGCGATATTTGTCTATTGTGTCATCACAACGACCGCCAACTTGCATGCTAACTGCAGCTTGACATGATTGTTGTCTCATGGAAATGACCGGACATAATTTTTTTTGATACCTACCCAGTTGTCATCATCGTAACGCACGTGTACCATAGCGAGTGTGGTATACTCTTGAAGTTCGCTGGGTTCTCTATTCGCTCCACATAGTACAGTACACTGGCAAATAAAAGAATTCCTAGCGTGAACGTGAAATACAAAAAGAGCAAATCCGTGGAGCAGTTTCTGAGCGTATACAGCAGGGACTGTAATCGTGAAGAACCCCTGGTCAGTTTCATTATCCGACTCACTCGCAGAACCCGGAGGGTCATAAGTAAGGTAACGCTGTCTGTATTGACAAATTGCGAGGCAATAAGTGAGACATAATATGGTAGTATCGCCAGTAGGTCGATCACATTGAAGAAATTCTTCATAAACATCCAGCGTTTTTTCGCCAAACTAAAACGAATGAGAAATTCAAGGGTAAAAACGGCCACAAATGTCGCGTCGAAGGCTGCAAACAACTCAGGATGCAATTCCAAACATTTGATTCCTTCTTCGCAGTCAATGGTCTCAACCGTTGTAGTCACCACGCTAAGAAATATGAACAACCCGTACAGAAAATTAAACGCTTTTTGTGGGAGTCTGGATTTGGGTAGTCTGCATCTGCAATTTATCTCACATCTGTTTCTATTTGCGAAGTCAGCTGTTATTTTTTCTCTCTTGTCCGAGTGTTTTGCGCTAGATAATTCAACACAATTATCCCGCCTTCTCCGCATATTTTCCTGCGTTCTCCTAGATGAGGGCAGATGATTGCTACTAATGTCACAGTTTGTTAACTTTTTCGAGCTTCCTTGCCGCATCTCCTTCCGTGTTTTTGTCCCGCCGTTGCTCTCGCGTCGTTTCCAGTTTAGATAATTAGCCGGGAGCGCGGTATGGACCGCCTTCATACTCGCTTTCCGCACGGCATAATGGCTGGGATGTTTTTCTTTCTCGTCGGCGTTGACTGTGTACCAACAACAATCCTCCAGCTCGCAAATCGGAATCCCAAAATAGTCGAGCTCTTCTTTAAAAGCAACGGGACAGTCGTCGGGCGATGAATGGAGCTTCCCGCATTGGTAGAAATTCAATATATAACGAAATAAAAAGGGATCCCTGTCGAAAAAATATTCCTGCTTAGACGCGTCGAAAAAACGGCCAAGCATTTCACTTCCAAGTAGAGTGTGCGGATGGCGCTGCAAATACTCTTTCTTCGTCATGAACCGTTGCCCGCTTACGTTTAACACAATTCGATGCTTTTTATTAGAGTCGGGAGTTCTAAAGTGGACACGTTTCGCCATCTAGTTTAAAACTCTCCCTCCTCAAACCGAGCCGTATTTGACGCCATTCTAAATCTCAAGTCCTGCATCAGGTTTAGGCTCTTATATGACGCGGATCCTCGAATCGAAGTCACTGCAAGATGATATCAACTGAATTCTGCTGACTTTACCAAGCGGATGCCCTGCAACTTGTTGGCTCAAACAATACCAACGCATTAGTCGACATCCACGTAAAGATCGGGTCGATTTGGAGCTTAATCGTCGTTCAATCAAATCCGGTTGATAATCGTGCCAAAATAGACCAGTAGAAGCGTGCTCGCCAAGATTGATTTCTTTTTGAAACATTTAATGCTCGAAACAAACCAATAGTGGATATGTAAATCAGCCCAGCCTTGACAGACCATATAGAATTTCTTATTTGTTCAACTGTGCATGTTAATTTCCAGCGTTTTGAATTGTCCATCAAACAGTCAGCATGCTACTGCATGCTAGTAATCGAGTTTTACACGATTTTTATCCAAACGCGCGCCGTTTCAAACTGTGTTGTATGGTTTTCCAAGACTTGTGAACTGGGAATCACTGGATCGCTTTAAAACTTTTCAGTCTTCTCAGTGGACAGCGTTAAACAGTTAATCCGTCTTTACATCGTTTAGCGCAGGGGAAAAGCTGACTATTTCCCTTGTTAAAAGAAGGAAATCATGATTGGAGTGAGGTTTGAATTTAAATTACTTATAAGAAAACAGGGCAATCACGGGGCGAGAAAACACAGGAAAACCCAGCGGGTTTCCGCCGTCTTGTGGAGAATATAAAACAAAAAAGCGCTTTGAGAGCAGAGGAAATTTGTAACAATTTGCGGGAACACCGATTAGCCCTAAACAATGTGAATAGAAAATGACCCAGAACAAATTTTCAATTGCTGATTCATTCGTTAGAGCCCAAGAACATTTTATGAGGGTTTGTCTGAAGCATACTGTTTTCAGACCGCTTTCAACGAGTTTAACTATATCTAAATATACTTTAAATTTGCTGCTACGCGGAAGATCATTAGCTAAAATCAACACCATTCCCCGTCAGGACGTTTGTAATAGTGTAGTCTTTTCAGAGAAGTTACAGAAATCATTGCGATGTCACTGGATGTTATCAAAGAAGATTGTAAACAATCCGATTCAAGGAGAAATTCTCTTTACACACAAAGACACCTGTCGCACGGAGGGTTTCTTTATATGGGGGCGAACAATAGAAAAACCTGCTAAGCATTGTTTGAATAAAAAACAGGGCAGATGTTTTGTTATGGGTTATTATCAATTCACTTTATGCTCTTTACTACGTGTCTTTGCCAGCCATAATATCAAAGCTTTTAGTTAACCATTGAAGTCCTCGTAATTAGAATCCAATTACGTTTGTAAAATGACTCGTCTTGCGTGGCATGTTTTACGCTTATGTTTTATTTTTATTTTTAAGGATTGTTTTAAGAATAATCTCATGGCTGTGTTCTTAGATAAAAACGATCCAACGTTTGAGGTGATTCATTACAAATAATGCCGTGTATGATGACCAACAGGCGAAACCGTCGCTTGCAACCGAATTGTTGCGAAGTGTCTCGTCGACAAATTTGAATTTCTTTGGTAATTCTGCTACAAAAACAAAACAACAATAATCCCATTAGTGTTAAAAGGTTCCTTTTGAGTAACCTTGCTAGTCGCCAAGGAGTTTAGACTATGAGGAAGGAATCCCTTTCAAAAGCAAATGGAAGATTCAACAAAATACCATTTTCCGCAGATAATTTTAAGAAACTACTCAGACACATTAATAGATTGGAATTAAATCCTTGGTAAACTCCAGTCCCTTTGGTAAAATGAATTTATTATTAGCTTAGAAAATGTGCTTATTGATTCAGTCCCGACGCAGACTATCGAGCTTACAAGAAGACCGAAATAACATGTATTAAACCAAGAATAAATTAAACACTTTGGAATTTACAGTCATTTTATGCCATATGCTTAACACCCTAATTTTCGGCACCGAATTTTGATTGAGAAGTACAACCGAAAGAGACCATTCACTGTCATGAATATATTTTATACAGCGATTATAACATACACCCGCCCCGATTACCAATTTAACTTTGGATCATCAATTATATTATTTTCTGGTCTGCGGCAACAATATAACCTTCCGGCTGCGAACAAATTTGTGTAAAAAATTCAGGTGGCGTTGGTATATATTTATACCTCATACGACAGACGCGCATCAGGAGAAGAGTGTCCACCGGTTTTAGTTGGGTTTGGGCCAATGGGCTGATAAAGGTAACTATTTTCAGGGATGTAGCCAGTATGCGGCAAATCGACACACATGCCTCAATCATTTTTTGCGTTCGCGTTGTTCTTTTTTCAGTGTTTTGAAGAGGGTAAGCAAAACATTGCTAAATACCTAGGAAGAGAATTTAATATGTAGTGGACATTGCCTCATTCATAATATTTGTTTCTGGCTGCGACCCTGATTCTAAGAACGAAATTTCGTGGAAGAAAATAATGAAAACAGTAGCATGGAGAAGACAGTATTGAATGGCTTGAGGCCAAGATTATCAGTAGCTCGTTTGTTGATACGGTCTAGCTGGTTAGCCCTAGAAAAACAGGAAGTCTTCTTTGGAGTCAAATCCTCCAAGCTGATTGGTCAGTTTTGCCAGCTGAGGTGAACAAGATAACATAAGATGAAGTTGGAGTCAGACATAATAACATTAACGTAGGCTGTTCAGAGAAACTCACTGTTTCAATATTTTCCTATACTGGTTACACGTCCGCATTTGACTTAAACACGATTACCCACTGAATGACGCGTAAAAAGTGCCGCATTAGGAGCGGCATTTTACGTGCATGTGGCCACACGCTTTTAATTACTACATTACTTGCGCAACCAGAGTACTTCCCATTAATCCCAGATCCTACCGGTCAGAGACCAATGAGACCAACCCAAAAAAGTGGAGCGACATTTTCCGATCAAATCGAGCTAACTGAGGGAAATGGCTCTAATTATGTTCTGTTTCCTTCCTCAACCCCACACATAAGTCAAATCTACCGAAGGGAAGTACCAAGGTAGGGCAACGAATCGGTTTGTAAAGAAGCAAAGCTAAATTTCGTTCTCAAGGTCCAAAAGGATGAAAGTGGACCACCTGCAAAGGTGGTATCGTATATTCCGGTCAGACCGATGCAGTTCTTCAGTTTGGCTTTTTCTCATGCTTGTTATAATATTGTCCCAAAAGACCATTTTACAGTCGTCTGCTCAATTACTTGCCTCACCTATCAGTGCAAGCGAGCCTTGCTTTATTACAAACACCTCTGGTTTTTCGTTCAAATGCAAACTAGTTAGCATCAGAACAACTTGATTGACACAACAAAAGCAGTGAGGTCTGTACCAAAACAAGGTCACCTCCAGCCTCGTTGCCTTTCAAGGGCCAGGTCATTGTGTAGACAGCTGTAAAATGGTCTCTTGGCATTGAAACTTCAGTAAAAATTTAAAATCGTTTTTGTTATTTAGAACAGGAATTACGGAACTAGATCTGATTAACGCGAGCCTTGTAATTATATTTATTTCACTTTTTCTTTAATGCAATGCCTAATATTCTACTTTAAAATATGTCACAATGATATATTCAAGTTTATTTATGTACTGTTTATAGTTTCTTACGGTTTACACTATAATAACTACAGTAAATATATATGTAGCATTTATGTTCATTTAGTTTTGCGTTTTAGTGATCTGGGTTTATCAGACTACTGTTTTTTCTTTGCACGAATGGGACAAGTTGTCCTTTATTTTAGTAAAAAAATCCATATTAAATGAAAAGCACTTGTTATGGATGTTAGTCGCTACTCCAGACAAGTCATTGCAACCATAGTTAATAGAGGGAAATGGTTAGGAACCTGGCAAAGTTCTTTGTTGTATGTTCTCGTTGGCTATTTTGGGGGTTGACCCTGCACAAAACCTGGCAAAATACAAAAGGTGGTTATGTGTCCTAATACAAATAACCAATAGAAGCATTGTGATTAGGTAATTCATGCACAGTCTATGAGCATAAACCAAAAGATGTGCAGGGTCAAGGACCTTCGAACGTCATTCTTAGCCTGTTTGTTTGCTTCTTTGATGTTTACCGAGCTTCTTAACTATTTCCCTCCATTACCTATACCGCAACTGAATATAATTTGTTCTTTATTTTACTCGTCGCAAGTTAATGACACGTACATGTACTATCACTGTTATGTCCCCCTGTGGTTAAGGAAACTTGCTTGCATGGCGTCCTCAAAGTTCATTTTGAATTAAAAGAAATGGTGCATGCAATTT